GCGTCCCTATTTCTTGTCCTTTTTTTAGGCTTTACACGTCTTCTATTTTGGCACTTAAAGAGCATTTTCTTGTGTGCCCCAGTAACTTCAGGCCTCTACATCTTCCCATCATGCCATCCAAAACTGTGCCTTCAGCTTTCCTAGTCCGCTTTTCCTTCCATGAGAGCTCCCATGGGCCTTACCTGCTTTTAGGGGAGCAAGATCTTGGTCCATTTGTCTCAGCCTTCCTTACACATTAGGAGTCACTACTTATGAAGCTGTTTGCAGAGCTTATCCAAGGAAAGGACTCATTCTTAATGTGGGCCGTACCATCCTGTGGACAGAGGTCCCAGGCTAATCACAAAGGGGTTGGAGAGAAGCCAACATCTGTCTCTGCGTGTTGCGGCTCAATGTGACTAGCAGCTGCCTTGTGTTTCTATTGCCGTGCATTTCCCCATTATGATGGACCGTATCCTTAAACCAAAATGAATTCATCTTGAGTTGTTTCTGTTAGGTATTTCGTCACAGTAGTGAGAAAAGTGATTAAGACATGAATTAACTTTCGGGAGCAGTGTGGTGGGACGGCCTACACATATGGACCCTCTTGTCGGGATTGCTGCTCTGATGCTGGCCCAGAACTCACATGCTATCAGAGCACCATCGAGCACTTTCTCTGCCCGGTGTTGCAGTCACTAGTGTTATTGAGACGGACGAGGGAGATCCACCTCTCCTCGGGGAATGGGGTGGAAAAGTCTGTTAAGATCACTTTGTGTATTAAACCGCTCTTACTGTGAGCACTCCCTTTGTAGCGAGCCAAGACCCTGGGGAACAGGCAGCTGTGAGCAAAAAGGCTGAACTGGCCACCCTGACTCACCCATGCCAGCACCAGTGGTCTGGAACATTCCACAGCCACTGTGGAGGTTTGAGTGAGAATCCCTTTCCCACGTGTTTGCACGCTTAGTCTCCAGTGGATGGACTGTTTAGGAGGGATTAGGGTGTGTGTCTTTGTTGGAGGACGATTGTCATTGGTGGGGGGGTTTTGAGGTTTCAAACACCTGCCAGGCCTAGTTTGTCTATCTCTGCCTGCAGCCTGGGCATCAGGATGTAAAGCTCTTCACTACTGTGCCAGAACCGTGGTTAGAACAAGTGGACTCTCTGGATGTGTAAGTAAACCATTATATAAGAGTTGCCAATGCTATGGTGTCTCCTCGCAGCGGCAGAACAGTGACTAAAAGTCCTGAGATGCCAACTCTGATGGCTATTATCAGCTGTCACCTTGACTACATCAAAACTCAAGCTAGGGACACCTGTGAGGAATATTTTTCTTTTCAGTTTTTCAAGACAGAGTTTCTGTGCAGCCTTGGCTGTTCTGAAACTCTTAATGTAGACCGTACAATTTTCTTTCTTAAATCATTTGAAGTGGGAGGACCAATCTTTAATCCACATCTTTTGAAGTGGGATGATCCACCTTTAATCTGGGCCACATCTTCTGCTGGCAGCCTATAAAAAGACACTAAAGGAGGAAGTTCATTCTTTTTCCCTGCCTGCTCTTGCTGGCAAGTCCATTCTTTCACTGGCATTAGAGCCTGCTTCTTTGGGAATCTGGCATGTGCAGAAGACCAGCTGAGACATTCAGCCTCGTGGCGTGAACAGCTACTAGATTCTTGGACTGCCCGTTGGCAGATGGCATTGTTAAACTAGCTGCACCAGTCTGAAAGTGACTAGGTTGTAAGCCACTCTAGAGAACCTTGAGGAATATACCACCGTCCTGCCTGAATCCCCTACCTTCTGAAGGTGCAACCAAAGGCAGGTCTGGATGACACATTTGTACCCAGCATTTTGTTAACAAGCCTGGTGCAGAAGCTGTGACTGACCCCAAACACAAGTCTTATTACTGTAGCTGGCAGTAAGAGCAAACCGAACATCCCTTCTTGGCTCTGGAAGCAGGCTGTCTAGGTTCACTGAGTCAACAGGGAGACACTTTCCTGTGCTATCTCCCCTGGTACTGCAACATCCATTGTCATAAAGGGCTTCTCTTGAACAGACTTCCTTCCTTCCGTTGTGTAGGGTGGCGTGGTAATGCCAAGAAAGAAGCAGGAGAGTAATGGTGGCATTTATATAACTGAGCAGGCAGCGAGATCGAGTTACAGAGGGGCAGCCCACTGCAGCTAAACAGCCAGAGCAAGAATAAAAGGGAAGGGCAGCACAAAAGAGCAAAGGGCAGAATGCTAAGACAGATCAAAAAATAATAAAAGCCTGTAAGGGGCCGGAGATATAAACTGTAGGTTTGGTCACTGAGATAGTTGAGAGCAGACAAGAAACCCCGATGCGCAGAACTATATGAGAGCTGCAACACTAGCTGCTGCCAAGGGCCGAGACCGAGGACTGCCTGGGTGCTATGATGCCAAACACAGTTGGCAACTTTGGAATCTTGGCTTCGTAGGCTCACACCAGAGTTGTAACTCTAATAGGACTAAGGGCGCTGAGGCCCTCACCAAGTCTGCAGCCCTGTCACTGTGGACTGCCCCTAACACTCTCTGCTGCCTAACACCTACACAAACGGTGACTGCCCAAGACCAGCTCCTATGGAGCCTCCTCAGCTGTCAGGGCATCAAAGTTCTGTTCCTTCATAGTCTGGGTCTACAGTTCATAAGCAAAACTTAAAAACCAGTACACTTGAGTAAAACTGTGTTGTGAAAATTTTAATATCTAGAGTAATATCAATACCCTTTAAAAAGGAGCAAGGCACAGACACTGGTCAGAGCACGAGGACCATAATTATTAAAAATATTTTGGAGTCTAGAAGGATCACAGTTAATCCTGAGAATGGACAAGGGGGAGGATATGGGAGGGAACTGGGAATGTGAGGCTACTAGACTAGAAAAAGACACTGCAGTTTCTTTTCTCTTTTGATTTTTTTTTTTTTACAATTCATTTTCCTTTAAAAATACATGTCAGAGACTATCTTTTTGTTGGTTTCTTCTTTTTTTAAAATTGAGCTCTACATTTTTTCTCTGCTCCCCTCCCTGTCTCTCCCCTCCCCTTCAACCCTCTTTCATGGTCCCCATGCTCCCAATTTACTCAGGAGAACTTGTCTTTTTCTACTTCCCATGTAGATTAGATCCATGTATGTCTCTCTTAGACTCCTCATTGTTGTCTATTGGGATTGTGCTTTGTGGGCTGGTTTTCTTTGCTTTAGGTTTAAAAACCACTTATGAGTGAGTACATATAATTGTCTTTCTGTATCTGGGTTACCTCACTCAGAATGATGTTTCCTAGCTCTATCCATTTGCCTACAGATTTCAAGATGACACTGCAGTTTCTGGATCTCATCCACTCCAGGGAAATCAAGCCCCCAACCGACGTCAAAACTAGATCATGAGCACAGCTCCAGAAGCAAGTGTTCTGGAGCCAGCACTTCATGCTCTCAGAACTGCTTTGCTCCAGTACACTGGTCCTGCCAGGCTCCCAGTAGAGTAAACTTGAACAATATTCCAAACTAAATTAATAGGAATGTGTGTGGATATTATGTCTTATATGAACAGTGGGGGTAGGACCAAAGTCTCATTTTGAAAATTTTCTATGACTCAGTACGTAGAAGTAGGAATGCCCTGAATTGATCACTTTTTTAAAGAGCTGATTAGGGGCTCCAACTTGGACTTAATCACCTTCAATGTTTTTAGAAAATAAAACTGGGTGTGAGTCACTAAGACTGGTCTATTAACTCAGTCTACAGGACCATCCTAGTACCGAGTATGCTGGTTCCCCGTAGGAGGCAAGCATTCAAATGCTTTTTCCTGGTCCAGCTGCCAGCCCTTGTGTCCAAATGAAAGATCAGCCCTCTCCAATTAAGACATGACTAGATCTTCAGCAGAGGCTCCAGTTATAGAAGTAACTTAAGCCATAAAAGCTATTTGAGAGTTCTCGACTTATATCAGCAATTCAGTTAATTCACTGAAGAAATACACAAATTAGGAATATTTATTTTATTACAAATTTATTCAACAGTTTAAACAAGTGAACAAATTAATAACACTAGGTTTATACTAAGGCACAAACCAAATGCATGAGTTGGAAAGTCAACTTTATTTATGAAAGTTTTCCTATACAGAAAAATGCTATTCCACCCCTTTGAAATACTGTAACTGAAACATTTCATACAGTATTCGCACAGTTTAAATTTTCCTATGTAAAACTGTACTGCAGTATTATGGGATGAGCAAAGACCCTCTCAAGATTGGCCTAAGACATTAACAAAAGACATAAAACCAAAAACAAACAAAACATAAAAGTTATCGAGCATAAATGGTCCTCAGACAGAATGGCAACCAAGAACCGCACTTTACCATGCTACTCCACCAAGACATGGAAATGACAAGGGAGGAGGCCCACGTCACGATAAACAGCCTGCTCCAACACTTACTTTGTGAACGTATGGGCTGATTTTGCCAAGTAACAGTTATACTGATTTTATCAAACAAATCATCGTTGTAAACAGGGAAGACTTTCTACCAATGAAAATATGTAAATACTCTGGTCTCATTGTTCAGGTCAACAACAGCTTAAAAAGAACTTAAACCCACAGTCTTTAAACCCAAACAACTGATTTACAGAACTGGAATTCTTCCTGAAATCAGGGTATTGTCTGATATGTAGTTATGCATACATTTCTTTATAGCAGAGATGGTGTAGACTTAATTAACCAAAGAGATCAAAATAAATAACCCAAATTACTAATTTGTCAATTATATGTCATTGTTTCTTTAAAAAAACTCTTTAAGTTCATATAGGAAGTTAATTACTCTTAGGTCATTTCTAAACAACAAAGGATTCCAACACTTTGGGGCAAAGTCCATCCCTGAGCTGTGAGACAGAGCAGTATCTAACAGGCAGAGGCAGCAGCCCTTTAACAACCTCTGCCCATTTTAACTGCAGCAGTGTGTGCAGTCCTGAAGTGCTCCTGCTGCCGATGAGCTAACCTTTGTACTGAAACTACAAGCGCAATATTGAGAAAAATCAGGTAAATAGAAACTGCTTTTATTGTCAACTTTACATTTTTGTCAACTGCAAGATGAGCCTGCTAAAACATGGATATTCCAGTCACAATGGAAATGGTAACTCCTGGGCGTCTCTTCTGAGTCTCTGGTCCCAATGACGTTCAGCCAAATAACAAAAGCAATACAATAGTAATTGAGTTTACTATTATCAATGGCACTGCAAGGAAAAAAAAAGTTTGTTACTATAAAAAGAAAACAAAAAAATAGAAAAAAGCTAAACAGTAGCAGATAGCTTCCAAGGAGGATGAAGTATCTAAAAACTATGCCATCATAATCATAATGTAATTGTAGTAACAGAAAAATTAACTATCATAAAGCTTATGATATTTTCCTCTGTACTCTAGGCTGGCCTGGAACTCGCAAAAACTTCCTTTCCCTGCATCCCAAGGGACGGGATTACAGGTGTGGACCACCATGCTGCATCTTTGAATGGTGCTGGCGCAGCTCTGGTGATGGAGGAAGGTCATTGGCTAATAAAGGAACTGCCTTGGCCCATTTTTATTGGTTAGAAGATAGGTGGGAGGAGAAAACAGAACAGAACACTGGGAGGAAGAGGAAGTGAGCTCAGACTCCACAGCTCTGCTCTCCGAAGCAGACGCCTCAGCAGAGATGCCATGCCCTGCTCCCTGGCAGACACACGCGATGAAGCTCCAACCCAGGATGGACATAGGCTAGAATCTTCCTGGTAAGCGCACCTTGGGGTGCTACACACAGATGATTAGAAATGGGCTAAATTAATATGTGAGAATTAGCCTAGAAGAGAATGGGCCAAGCAGTGTTTAAAAGAATACAGTGTCTGTGTAATTATTTTGGGGCATAAGCTAGCCGGGCAGGCGGCTGGGGGTGCTGAGAACGCAGCCCCGCCGCCCTTATTACTACATATGGCGCCCCACGTGATGGACTAAACCCACTTAAAAAACCTGAGAAGACTTAAAAATAAGGGAGCGAGAGTTTAACACAGATTTTTGCTGTTTGTTGGTGGCGTGCTATAGAGAGATTTCCTTATTCGGCAACAGTAGCAGAAAAAAAACGCTGTGTCATTTTAAAGCGCGACTTCCTGGGGCTGTGCCGCCATTGCGATCTCTGTCTGGCTCCTGTGGGAGACAGAGCTTTTGAATAGAGCATTTGGAGTAAAGTGCTACGATTTGTTTGATGGCAACTAGACTCGCTGTGTTCTCGGGTCTGCACTGCTTGCTAGAGGCAAGCAAGCGCCTCATCTAAGAGAGGCTTCCTGACTCAGCTTTAGCTGCAAAGCCTGCAGCTCATTAAGAGGTCCTGCCACGAAACACTTAAACAGTGTTGACGAAAAGCTGAACGCATGCTTTTCGGTTTTCAGCCGTAGCAGGAAAAAAGCTGCGCCGTTTAAAAATGCCGGCTTTCTGGGCCATCCTGCCAGGGCAAACTCTGACTGTTTGAGGCAGGAGGGCCTGCTACCGAGAGAGGACTTGAGTGTTGTCTGTTGTAGCTCACTTGCTGGCAGGGACCTTGAAATGCCATACAGTTGTTGCAGTAAACATGCTACAGCCTGTATATCCGCCATGAGGCTGGAAAGCTAAAAAATGGACTGGATCTAGCTGGCAAAGCCACGCCTATAATCCTACTGATAATGCTCAGTAATTTAAAGGCTCATGTGGTCAGAAAAAGAGAGATATACAGTAAAGAGAGATTCAAAGACAAAGAAAATTTCTAAATGGTTTGAAGTGTGTTAAAAATATATGCAGACGAAAAGTTGAAGTTCTTAAAGTAAAAAACAAAAAAAGGAAGAGAGTTGTTGTGTGTGGTGGCACACGCCTTTAATCCCAGTGTTTGAAGGCAGGGACAAACAGATCTCTGTGAGTTCAAGGTGTAGTAGTGTACACCTTTAATCCCGAATGCCTGGGAGGCAGAGACAGGCGGATCTCTGAGAGTTCAAAGACAGCCTGGTCTACAGAGTTACTTCAGGTCAAAGATACAGAGAACCTGTCTCAAAAAGCAAAGAGTTAAAAGTAAAAATAAACAAAATAGAGGTTAAAACAAAGCTGCACAAAGATGGAAAATAACACAGAGAATTTTGATACTGTATGCTATTATGCTCTCTTTGAATTATTTGAATGCTGAGGAAGGAGCAAAAGCTGCTAAAAGATATTTGTTTATAAATGCTGCTGAACTAATCCAACATAGATATTTTGAATTTGGATCTAAGGATATGATACTTTGGAAAGGAGTTTCTTATTTTGTTTTCACAGAGGATGAGACGCTGTTCATTTCTTCTATTCCGATTTGGTATGATGGAACCTCCTGAATGGTTCCTGTGCACGCCTTCAAAAAATTGCTTCGCTCAACTGCCAACTGAGATGAAACTAGCACACAGGTTATACAGTGAAAGACCTAATTAACGACGCCCCCATTCAGCAGGAAGCAGTTTGGAGAGAAAAAACTGCGCCCATGTTCCCAAATATGGTTTATAAATGTTCTTTTACATTTAAAGGGGGATATGATATAGATATGAATAATTTGTATTAGTATAGATTTTGCTTTATTGATAGAGATTTAAGGTCAATTTTGTTATATGTATAAGTGTTTCTGATTTTGATTAAGGTATTGTGATTGTGTAGTTCATTTAAATATGTACTGTATAATTAAGAAATATAGGTTGTTAATGGATAATCATCGATAATAGTAAAGCTTGTAGTCATGTTAGTTAGATTTTCTAGATATATAGAGATATATTTTAGATAGACATTCTTCATGTCTTTCAAAGATTACAGAATAGGACATTTAATGTTTTAATAACTGAGGACTTTTCATGACAATGAGACACTCTGCTCCTGGCAGCACCACTGTACTTCAAGAGGAAGATGGGCATCAAAGAGGCACCTTATGGAGTTTGATAGCCATTTGGGCAAGAAACTGCTCTTGCCTGGACTATTGCATAAACTGGACAAGAGAACCCACAGAGAGAGGACTACTGAACTTGCCTAAGGTGAGATGATCTTTCGGGGTTCCTGATTCATGAAAGAGTCTGCGAGACATTCTGCAGGACACAACAGATAGTGACTGAACTGACTTTGAATTTTCCTGCTTTATGGAAATGTCTGCTGGATACCATGGGCCTGAAGCCTGAAGATGGATGCCCCAACGGTACAGAGGAACTTTGGGTGACTGTCCAGGCAGCGAGATGTCTCTGTCATTTCTAGAGTTTTAAAAGTTGCTTTTTTCTTGTTTGCTTAGGTAGTAGTGTATCTTTCTGGAGTCTTTGATGGAGTTAAGAATAGTTAGTTATAGTTATAGTTTTCCTTAGTTATGATAAAGATTATTGTAACTTTTACTTGATAACTGTTTTGTTATATGTAATTTTGCTATGTTAAAGTTAAAGCCTTTTTTTTTGTTTAAACCGAAAAAGGGGAAATGATGGAGGAAGGTCATTGGCTAATAAAGGAACTGCCTTGGCCCATTTTTATTGGTTAGAAGATAGGTGGGAGGAGAAAACAGAACAGAACGCTGGGAGGAAGAGGAAGTGAGCTCAGACTCCACAGCTCTGCTCTCCGAAGCAGACGCCTCAGCAGAGACGCCATGCCCTGCTCCCTGGCAGACACACGCGATGAAGCTCCGACCCAGGATGGACATAGGCTAGAATCTTCCTGGTAAGCGCACCTTGGGGTGCTACACACAGATGATTAGAAATGGGCTAAATTAATATGTGAGAATTAGCCTAGAAGAGAATGGGCCAAGCAGTGTTTAAAAGAATACAGTGTCTGTGTAATTATTTTGGGGCATAAGCTAGCCGGGCAGGCGGCTGGGGGTGCTGAGAACGCAGCCCCGCCGCCCTTATTACTACACTCTGGAAATACAGAGGACCTGGCAGATCCACATGGCTGCACACTTGAGCAGAAATACAGTGCAAAGAAGGTTCTGTGGTTTCATTAAAAAGAATAAACTCACGAACAATACATCCCAGGTTTATGATTAAGTCTCTAATCTCAATGCTTAAATTCAAGGTGCCTGCATTCTTTGATTGAATTGCTCCACAATATTTTCCAATACAATGCCAGATACAGAACCTTTCTACATTGCAATGTAGAAGTCCCTAGTAACAGTCCATCTCCTAGAAATCAGCAACCTTCAAGCAGTAAATTCAGGTTAAAGAAGAAAAAGTTCCTACCACAAATGGGAACCCGATAGTTCTCACTCTCAAAAGCTTTGCTACTTAAATCGTAACACACAATTGTAACCTAAAGGTTTCTTCTTACCTCTCATCACGGTTCGTACAGATCGAATCAGGTTCATGAGTTGAGATTTAATTCCTGGCTCCTCTCCGAATCCGCCAATTCCCTGGTCTGTTCCCCAGCCAACTGTATGAGAGAAAGATGATTAGCTGAGTTAAATGTATTGTGCCGTCTTATTCCCTCATTATCTCTTAAAAGATTAGTTTGAGCCCTATGAAGACAAAGTATAAAGTCATACATCTTAGAGTTAAGATATTGAGTTCAATAGTTTTTTTCCCCCTCTTTTGATAGTGGCAACAATCATATTCTCTTCATTCCACTTTTGAGTTTGTAAAATAATCTACAGTCCAAACAATCTCATGGTGTTCAAGTCACCGAAAATGGCTACTGTTACAGCTTGCTTATTTCTTTCTTTAAAATGATCAAAGGACCCTTTCTCAGTGTAGAACTGAAAATATGCCAGGGTGAATAATTACTAACACAATTAAAGAGTTATATCATCTAATAAAGTATCAACAGGAAAACGCAGTAGCCGGGAAGCACGTGGGCAAATTTTCACGTGCATTTTGGGCACGCCTTTGGAGCACATAGTTTCCCATTCTCCTTGATCATTCTTCATTTTTGCATTCTGAGCCATTCTCTGTAAATGAGTCTTTCACCTCCTCCGTCATTTCCCTTGTCATTACAAGCCACTTTCACCCTTTATCTACCAGTTCTCTTTCTGTTCTTTCTTCTAAAGACATGTCCTCATTTCAGGCCCACTTTTACTCTCACATGACTACAGAGTTAATTAATTCCTGGCATGCTAACCTCTAAACCCAAAGACGAAGAACAAGTCTATCTTATACATGGGAGAGCCCAAGCGTCAGGAAACTCACACCTAATCAGCTCTTATTGGGTTGAGATAACAGTTAAATAATGGCTGTCCGCGTTTTTTTCCTGTTGTAGCATGAAACCATCTCAAATTCAACTTCACAAAGAAGTTGACCCTCCCTCCCTTCCGCTCTCAAGGACGGCAGTGGGTTTTGCTTTCACAGTGCATTCCGTCCTCCATCACAGTTGTTAGTACCAGACTTTCAAGATCTCACTGTTTCAATCCCTTTAGATTTTCTCTAAACTCAGAACGCAGTGACAATGGTCAATGGACTGCAAAACCCCTTAAACTGACTTTGTGGAGCGTGGTACGATGAGCCCAACAGACACAGAGGACAATGGCCCAGCCAATTACCTACTGGTTGTTAAAGCCAGTTTCTGATCTGGGTCTGACTGTCACATCCAGACCCAGGCCACAGTAAATCCTCTTTCTCTTTGTTCACCAAATCCCACTTATTGTAGGGACTTTCTTCTCCTCGGTTGGGTGTTTTCAGGAATTTCCCACAAACTCCTGGAGGACAGGGACTGTAATACAGTCACCTGTCTTCATGTTTCCACTTCCCCACACCACAGCAAGTACTCAGCAAATAGCTGTGGAACTAAGTGGAATTACAGTGAATTGAGTTAATCGGGAATACTGGAAAATAAGATGAATTCTGGGCTGTGGAATTGAACTGAACTAAAACTGAGTTAAAACTGAGAAAAGGGAAGATAATATGAATTCTAGGATCACAATATTTCTGAATAACCCCATTTACTTATTTTATGTATTTTCTATTTCTAATACACATGAACTATCAGATGGACAAATCATTCCACAAGTTTTAGGGAACAGGTAGTTGGTTCAGCACGTACAGCACTTGCTGGGCAAGCACAAAGACATGAGTTCAAACCCCTGCCCCCACATAAAGCCAGCTGCACATCTGTAACGCCAGTGTCCCTGTGGAGAGATGGGAGGTGGAAACACAGACTCTCTGTAAACCTGAGGCCAGCAACGCTGGTGTGTGCAGCAACAAACGAGATCCTGTCTCAAACAAGGCGGAATGCAGAGACCCACACATGAGTTTGTCCTCAGACTCGACGCACGCTTGCCCTCACACACTTGTACACACAAAGATCAAAAAATAAAGAACACAAACTTTTTAAAAGTAAGTTTTCTTTTTAAGATTTATTTATTATGTAGTTTTCTGCCTGCATGTAAGTCTGCAGGTCAGAAGAGGGCACCAGATCTCATTATAGATGGTTGTGAGCCACCATGTGGTTGCTGGGAATTGAATTCAGAACCTCTGGTAGAGCAGGCAGTGCTCTTAACTTCTGAGCCATCTCTCCAGCTCCAAGAAAACAAACTTAAAAATAAACCAAAATTTAAAAAAAATAAAAGTTTTAAAGAAGCTTATAAAAATGGCTATCTACCAGAGAAAGAAATATGACTGGACAATGAACATTTGGAAAGCAAGGACAATTACTATATGGATGTGTCCACAGACAAACATGTGATGGACCAGGGGAAGAGATGCTTGTCATAGTTTCCCTCTACACAGTGCTACACAGGGCTTCTCAACTATTTTGTTCAGGAATTTGGTATGTGTTGGTGTGGGGCGTGCATGTGAGGACCTAACTTTGCAAATTACATTTTAAAGAAGGGGCTTAATCTTAAGCCATTTAATGAGCTTGGGGGCAGCACAGATCTCAGCTCCAGCAATGTGCTACAATAGCAGAATTTAAAAGGATACCCTAAAAATAGCCAATTAAGTAACTAAGGAGCAGGACCATAAAATTTAACGAGGTCCAGGTGTTCATGGGAGGCATCCTGTCCTTGAAGATACCTTGTCAGTAATTGATGGCTCTTTGTTAGGTTTTCACACTCAAAAACTGACCAAAGGTTTCAGAAACTATCTTACCCTATGCCCTCCTTACCCAATCCCCAAATGACAGGACATGAACTCCCCTTATTAGGATGTTTCCCCTTTAAAAGTTCTACCCTTCCAGGGCTCCCTGCCATACTTTCTGCACCTACCATGCTGGGGTCTAAACTTAAGCTTGGATATTAAAAAGCCCTCATGTAATTTGCATCAGAAATCCAGCTCCGTGAATTCATTTGGGGACCAAAAACTTGGGCATGTAAAGACCAGATGTTGACATCAGGTGTGCGCTGGTGTGAGGCATGCATGCACCCGTGTGCACAGAGAGACCAGAGGTTGACGTCAGGTGTGCATTTGTGTGTGGGGTACATGCACCTATGTGCATGGAGAGACCAGAGGTTGACGCCGGGAGCTTCCCTGACTGTTCTGCATTTTGTGTCTTTTTTTTTTTTTTTTTTAGTTTTTCGAGACAGGGTTTCTCTGTGGTTTTGGAGCCTGTCCTGGAACTAGCTCTTGTAGACCAGGCTGGTCTCGAACTCACAGAGATCCGCCTGCCTTTGCCTCCCAAGTGCTGGGATTAAAGGTGTGCGCCACCACCGCCCGGCCCACATCTTGTGTGTCTTGAGGTACAGTCTCTAGCTGAACTCAAAGCTTACAGATTTGACTAGTCTAGCTAGCAAGCTTGCTCCAGGCACCCACTGTCTCCACCCCTGGAATGCCAGGATTATAAGTAGGCCACCAAGCCCACCCAGTACTTATATGAATGACAGGGATTCAAATCAAGTTCTCAGGCTTTTATGGGAGGTGCTCTACCAACTAAGTCATCACTCCAGCCCTGAACAACAGGTCTTCATGTGTTTTCTTGTGTGACACAACCTTAGGAAGCCTATGTATAATTAGCCTCACTGCTCAGGATTTCCTATATACACAAGAGTATATCATCTATCTGCAAACAGATAGTTTTGCCTTTTAAACCTCACAATGTAGATCTTTTATTTCTTACTTCTTGTCAAATTTCCCTGGGCAGAATCTCCAGCACAATGTTAAACAGAAACAGTAAGAGAGGCCTCCGTGTTTTATTCTTGGTCAGGGAAAGCATACAGTCAGCAGCTGAAGCAAGGGCAGTTTCTTACCCAGTGGCTAGCTTTGCCACACTGAAAGAAAACTCCATATGGAGGTTCTTTGATGCCTATCATCTTTTTTTTTTTAAAGTAGATTGGTGTGCCAGAAGTAGACGTTTTTCACTGTCATGAAAAGCCTTGTTATTAAAACATCTTAAATGGCATATTCTTTTTTTTAATATTTATTTATTTATTATGCATACAATATTCTGTCTGTGTGCAGGCCAGAAGAGGGCACCAGACCTCATTACAGATGGTTGTCAGCCACCATGTGGTTGCTGGGAATTGAACTCAGGACCTTTGGAAGAGCAGGCAATGCTCTTAACTGCTGAGCCATCTCTCCAGCCCTAAATGGCATATTCTGTAGATCTCTGAAGTGTTTGAAGATTGCTGCTTAAGGGGTCATACCAGTAGGAACACGTAAGACAATGGTACTGAGAATGATTTGAATTGTGTTGGGCTGGCTCAAAAGATTTCAAAGGCCTAGAGATTGTTCTTGTAATATTTTGGGAAGAATGTGGCTGCCTTTTGCCCTTGTTTGGAAAATCTGCCTGAAGCTAAAGTAAAGACCTTTGGATTAATTACACTGACAAGAAATCTCAAAACAGCCTAGTATAGAATCTGGCATGTGGTTATTAGTGGTAACTCTAATGAAGATTTACAATGAAAAGAAGTAAGCTGAGCAGGGTAAATTACAAAATGTAAAATTTGAGCAGAAAAGGAGCACCAAAAATTAGAACGGAGCTAAATCCTTTGTTCAAGGAGATAAACAAATTAAGAAATTGAACAAAGGGCTAGGTAACCTCAAGGCAAGATCCCACCTAGCTAAATTTCCAATTCACAAGAAGGAATTAAAGAAAAGTTTAGAGCTGGGTCTGCTGGTGTGTGCTGTTAATCCCAGCAGTCCAGGCAGAGGCTGGCTGATATCTGAGTTCAAGGTCAGCTTGGTCCACAGAACTAGTTCCAGGACAGCCAAGATTAGGCAGTGAAGTAAACTATGGAAAACAGAAAGCTGGTGAAGATGTAATTGAACAAATAAGCTTATGTTCTGTCCCAGCAAGCAGCAGAACTTGGCAGCTTAGGCCATGTAGTTCTGGCTTTCGAGTTAAAGATCTAAGAAAGAGGCTATGGAATTTGCCTCTGTGACTAAGGAACTGCTGAGGCCAGGTGTGTGTCAGAGTGTTCCTAACTGGAGGTCTAGAGAGAACAGTGTGTGAAGCTGTGAAGTTTAAGCTTGGAGACCCCAAGATGCTGGAGATGCCAGAGACATGAGACTTTACATTTTCTCTGCTTACATTTTAATGATGCTATATTTCACTCAAACATTTCAGTAAATTTTCTGAATACCTCCCTATACAACTCTAATACTATCTTTGTCTCTCTCTCTCTCTCTCTCACACACACACACACAATTCCTTACTGTCATCAAGTACTAATTCAAATTTCATCAAATGTTCTTTTTTTTTAAACATTTATTTATTATGTATACAATGTTCTGTCTGTGTGTATGTCTGCAGGCCAGAAGAGGGCACCAGATCTCATTACAGATGGTTGTGAGCCACCATGTGGTTGCTGGGAATTGAACTCAGGACCTTTGGAAGAGCAGGCAATGCTCTTAACCTCTGAGCCATCTCTCCAGCCCCCTCATCAAATGTTCTTTAGAGACTTGTGGTGGCTGTTCTTGGTTGTCAACTTGACTATATCCGGAATTAACTAAAATCCAAGTGGCTAAGTACACCTGTGCAAGACTTTTTTAAAAATTAAATCATTTAAAATCAGAAGCCCCACCTTTAATACAGATCTTCTGAAGAGGGCCACACCTGTTGTTGGCAGCCTATAAAAAGGACATAGAGAAAGGAAGCTCACTCTCTCTACCTGCTTGTTCTCCCTCTGCCTGGGAAGCCCATTCCTTCACTGGCATTAGAGCCTACTTCTTTGGCACTCTGGCATATACTAAAGACCAGATAACACATCAGCCTTGTGGGCTGAGAACAACTAGACTCTTGGACCTTCCATTGGTAGACAGCTAGAGCTGGGCTAGCTGGACCACAGCCTCTAAGTCATTCTAAATATATGGAATACATACTGTAAATTCTGTTCTTATAGATTCTCTAGTCTAGAGAATCCTAATATAAGGTCCCTTACAGTTACATTTTAAAAAAATCTTTGCGTGTATGAGCACACGCATGCATTCTCATGCTCATTTGTGCATCTTCACGTGTGTGGACTCATTGGTGTGGAGGTCAGAGGACAATATCCTGTGTTGGTCCTTGCCTACAGGGCTCTTGCTGTTCACCTGACCACTGAGCTTCCAGGGACTCTCCTGTCTTTACCTAGGGCTGCCTTCATAAGGCACCCTGGACAATGCTTAACACAATAGAAATCACTTTCTCAGTTTTGGAGGCCAAGTCCAAAATCCAGCAGAACTGGTTCCCTCTGGTAACTCCGAGGGATAATCTCATCCAGGCCTTCTGTAACATCTATCTGGTAGTTGCTGGAATTCCAGGGTTTCTTGGCTTGAAACCAAGCCACTTCCATCTCCGCCCCTGTGACCACTTCTTTAAGTGTGTGTCCGTATGCTTCTGTATCTCGCTCTCCTTAAAAGGATATCAATGACTAGATCTAAGGCCTAACACCTAATCCACATATGAAGAGCTCAATTTGATTACAAATTTTCAAAGATGTGTTTCCAGATAAGGTCACAGCCACAGGTGCCACGGAGTCAGAACACAATCCAACGCGTCACACGATCACGAAGAGTTCTCTGTATAGTCCAGAGGTAAAGAAATGGACTCTGGAGTCAGTGTGCTTAACTGTGCCACCTTCTACCCATGCGATCCTAGAAGTTACCAGCTCACTTTCTGCTTTAGATTCCCTACCTGAAGGTTGGAATAAAAACCCTAACTGTATCACAGAGCTGCAGTAAGCTCTCTTGCACGCTCTCTCTTACACACACATGTAAAACACCTAACACCAATCCTGCACACAACTACACGGTTACTGTTATATTAAGGTTGTACCTGCCATCTCTGAGCCCTTTCCAAATCCACTCCTTTCCCTTCCCATCCCTTCTCGGCGCTGCGCCTACGAGAACTCAGTAACATAAACCTGGCCACGGCATGTTCTTAGTTACAACTATTTCCACCTACCTTGGTTTTCCCACCAGAGTAACAGTATTCAAGGCTTCAGCCTCCAAACTGGCCCCAATCTTTTCTTTCACCTAGTAAGTATTTACTCATTTATCAGACTTCGGGTCAGACACATCTTTTCTCAGGCCCTTTTTCAGATTCTCAGGCTAATATGACCCTACATCTTTCTAATATTTGACACATCTGTTAGTCATTTTAGATTAAACTTCATCTTAAGGACAGGAGACTGGTGTAACCTGCTTCTGTTACAGAGGCCTGGCACATATTCGTGTTCATCTCTTCCGGAGTAATATATGAAATGCATCGTTCTTGCCTGTGGGTTTGAGTTTCAATGATTCCAAGGGCACAGTTGGTATATTGAAACAACTGTTTAACATCACGTGGTCCTGTCTGCTTTGTCCTATACAGCAAGAAGCAGCTGGACCAGTCTGGCAAGAAGATCTGATTGTGAGGACGAAGAAACCATAACGCGTGCGTGTGTCTTCATGTTTGTATTCCTCGATTCCAGCACGGTCTTTGGCACACGGTATACACCCAATGGGGGCGTGCACCTAGAACAAGGGTGGCTGGAGTCCTTGCTAACTCCTTTCACCATCAATCCTACCTCCCACCAACGTCTACAGGCTCCCCACCAGTCATTCTAACGACGCGCAAGCTGAAAGCGCCTCCACTCCCAGCTCTGAACTCAAAACTCCTCTCCAGCTTTCCCTCTATAAAACCGGTAACAACAACAACAAAAATGCACGGATTTGTCTGAGCGAAACACCAGCCAGGCGGAATCGAGTCAGGGCTCCCCCGCCGCCAGCCCCCACACGCCCACCCCGGCTCGCGGCGCGGGGACGCCCCTCTCCCAGCCCCCACCCCCGCCCCGGCACTCACTGTTCTTGAGGAAGCGCTCCTCGTGCAGCACGGCGATGGCGTTCACGCACAGCAGGGCCGCCTGCAGCAGGGAGTACAGCGTGAAGGCCATGGCCACCCCAAGCAGTCCCCAGGCCTATTGACTCCTTTCCGGACACCACCCTGGACGTGGCGCCACCACCGTGCCCCGGCTACGGGAGCCCGCGCGGCCCAAACCGCGCTCACCGAGGAGCCCCGCCTCCTCTGGTTGAGCCCCGCCCCGTGCTGAGTCCGCGACGGAGTACCGCATCCTGAGGTGAGCCACAGGAGTCTGGAACACTTGAGACGGTAATCATTCTTCACAGACAGGGGCTGAGAAAACAGATGTAGAGTAACATGCAGTTTAAAAGTGTTCTTTATATATTGAAGTAATAGGAATATATTTGAAGTAATTTTTTTTCTAGCATTTTTTCTGCCTACTTTTGCCTTTTTTGTTTGCTGTGGTTGTGAGCCACGCGTGAGTCTTGTGTTGTGCTTCTCTTGAGCCCGGCTGCCCTAGATGTTCCCAAGAACTGTGTGAAAAGTTAGTTTTCAGATTTTACCCTTGAAAAAATGGAGACTGAAGCGTTCAAACTTGATCAAACTCTAGCCAGAATATAAATAATACAGAAGGGGAAAGGAAGCTCTTTCACCCACGGCCATATGGAAAGACTTGGATATATTAACATCCCTAACTGTTCATGGATATGACCCAGTCCTTCTTGACGAGTATGTACAGGGTTTTGTTGTACCAACAGAAAATTAACTGAAACAGGAAGTGACGGACCATGGGTGGATGGCTTGGAAGCTGGATTAGAGCTGCCCAGAGCAGTGCCTTCCAATTGCCACATGAACTGATTCCCCGACTGCCATAAAAACCAGGCTAATTTCTCTGGGCTTCTGCCACTTTCCGTTCTAAAATTAGGTGATGGCCATCTCCGAGGCCCTTTCCATTTTAAAAATCTAGCAAAAGCAACTTGGAAGGTAGTATACACGTTCTGCTGCCGTGTTATTTGATTTATTATTTCTCAAAATTCCAGGTTTGTAGCCTAAACTGCTAACAGCAGATTATATCCTGTAAGAGAACTGTTGCACTGGGCGGTGGTGGCACACACCTTTAATCCCAGCGCTTGGGAGGCAGAAGCAGAGGGATCTTGTATACAGTGAGGTCAGGGCAGCCAGAGCCACACAGAGAAATCATGTCTCAAGAAACAAATAACAAAGACAATTGTTGCTTTATTTTCAAAGAAATTCAAAATCCTAGAAATTGTATCACACACACACATATGTATAAAGTAGATATTTCAGTTTATTTACTTATTTAGGGACAGGGCCTCACTGTCTACTTGTAGCTGGGCTGGCATTCTCTGTGTAGACCATGCTGGTCTAGAACCCACAGAAATCTACCTGCTTCTGCCTTCTTAGTGCTGGCTTCAAAGGCTTATGCAACCATGCCCAGTGCAAGTTGTTACAATTTATAAAGCTCTCCAATGAGCTTTATAAATTTTGTTGGTGCAAGTCTTTAATCTCAGCACTTGGCAGAGGCAGGCAGGTCTCTGAGTTCGAGGCCAGCCTGGTCTACAGAGTAGTTCTAGGACAACCAGGGCCACACTGAGAAACCTTGTCTCAAAAATAACAAAACAAACAAACAAACAACAAATAACTAAAAGTTTCTCAAGCAACAGCAGAAAAGAAACTAAAAGAATGTTTTTGCTTTTGTGTTTTATCTTTGAGGGCTGAGAGTTTTAAACCGGTTGTGGTCTGGTGCTGAACTTCGGAAGGACGTTTGAGAGGTTTTATGGACTCAGGCTCACCACCCTATCAGATGTCCCTGCTGGAGGTGAAACTGTCTTTACAAGGTCAGACAGTGATGACTTTTCATTTTCTTCAGGCTGTTTTCTTTGTTTGGGGTTTTCTCTCTGGGCTGAGAGACAACAGTATGATAACAGTTTGTTATGACATCTTACTGTAATAACTTTATATAATATATACTATATATGCTATATAACTTATAACTACTGATTTGGAGTCAGTGATTTTATTTGCTTCTTAACAAGAATCAAGGAATTAGGGCCTTCAATAATCAGTTAGTTTCTTCCTGCAAGAGGAAACAAGAGTGTGTATGGAATAGGCTGGAGAGCTAGCTCAGTGGTTAAGAACATTTAACTATTCCTGCAGAGGACCCACATTGGTTCTGATCACACCCAAGGCCGCTAGTGTCTGTAACTCCAGTACCAAAGGATCCAGCACCCTCTTCTGGCCGATTCTGGAACTGCACTATGCATTGCACCAATATACATACAGGCAAAACTACCCATACACACAAAATAAAAATAAATGAATCTTTGAAAAATAAGAGTATGTATGAGTGAATTCCAGAGCTGAGAGGAAAATTCTAGGACCGTTCCTGGGTCTCTCTTTAACTTTTACATCCTGCATACAACCCAGCAGTAGATCCTGTTAACTTTTACGTTAATAAACACTATGGTTTGAATGTTCTCTCCAAGTGTATGCTGAAATTTAATCAGCATTGTAATGCAAAGGGTGTGTGTGTGTGTGAGAGAGAGAGATATGCATATGTGGTGTGTGTGATATGCATATGTGGTGTGTGTGATATGTATATGTGTGTGTGATATGCATATGTGGTGTGTGATATGTATATGTGGTGTGTGTGATATGTATATGTGTGTGATATGTATATGTGTGTGTGATATGTATATGTTGTGTGTATACATGAGTTTTCAGGTACAGATGCCCATGCTTATGGTGCTAAACCCAGAGGAGAAGGCTGAATGCCTTTTTATCATTCTTTGACTTATTCCCTTGATGCAGACTCTTGCTCAGCCTGAAGCTCAGCTAGGCTGGCTGGCCAGCGAGCTCCCAGATCCATTTGTCTCTGCCTCCAGCACGGAGGTTGCAGGCATGCCCAGCTTTTACACGGGTACTAGGGTGAGAATGCCGGTCCTCATGTTTGGACAGCGAGCTCTCTTGCCTGCCAAGCACAGGCCCATCTGTGGTGGGATGTTCTTTTAACTGGGTAAAGTTGGGGTACATTTGTTTATGCTGAGGTTTATTACTTTGTGTAAAGATGCGTTACATTCATTTCTGCTGCCTCTGTTAAGGATGTAAAGATGTGGTACATTTGTTTGTTTGTGCGGCATTTGTTTGATCCTGAAAGGATGTGCTGCTGTTTCACCTTGCCTGCCTAAGGCACCTGATTGATCTAATAAAAAGCTCAACATCTGATAGCTAGGCAGAAGAGGGATAAACAGGCCTGGCAGGCAGAGAGAATAAGTAGGAGGAGAAATCTGGGTTTGAGAAGAATGAGAAGAAGAAGAAGAAGAAGAAGAAGAAGAAGAAGAAGAAGAAGAGGAGGAGGAGGAGGAGGAGGAGGAGGAGGAGGAGGAGGAGGAGGAGGAGAAGAGAATGAGGGACACACCCGGGGTCAGCCGAGCAGCCACCAACCACTGGATACAGAGTAGGACATACAGAAAGAAGGGTAAAAAAGCCCTTAGGCAAAACACAGATGAAGAGAACAGGTTAATTTAAGCTACAGGGGGAAAATGGTGCTAACTAGAAACGAGCATAAGCTAGGGCCAAGCATTCATAACTAATAAGTCTCTGTATCGTGATTCAGGAGCTGGTTGGTGGCCCACGAGAGAAAGCCTGGAGTGTCCATCTGTGGTGGTTTGACTGAGAATGGCCATCAGAGCTATATTTGGATACTTGGTCCTCAGTTGGTGGAACTGTTTGGGAAGGATTAAGAGGAGGTGGCCTTGGAGGTTTTAAAAGCTGATGCCATTCGCAGTCACCTCTCTCACTCGGGCTCAGGCGTATGGATCAGAAGTGCGCTCTCAGTTACTGCCTCAGTACCAAGTCTGAAGCTGTGGGGCCATGCTCCCTGCTGTGAGAGTCATGGACTCGTCCTCTGAAACTCGGCCTCCGTTAAGTGTTGTGTTCCACCAGTCGCCTTAGTCATAGTGCTCTGTCATTGCAGTGGAAAAGCAGTTGAGACACCAGCACTCTAACCCAAGTTTTTAGGGTGAAAGACCAGACCCTGGCAGCTGCAACAAGTCAGGCCTGGCTAATAGAGAGCCAGGAAACTTAGTTGGTGGGATTACATTCAGAAGAGGGGCAACTGTGCATAACTAAGCAGTCCTGCTCAAGATGTGGCCCCACCCATCGCTGACCCATCATTGGTTATGTCTCTCTGGTCCGTGCTGCAAGCTGGCCTGATAAACTCTTCAGAATGGCGTGAAATCTCTTTTTGTCTGGCAAGTTCCTCTCTAGGCTAGCACTAGGGCTTCTTTCGCTACCTTATTTTAGTTCTTTGGACTTCACTGTTTCAGTCATCTGAGAATCAGTGGGAAGGCTATGTGTGTCTTTGTAGAATATATCCTTTCCTTTCAGGGTGGGTACAGGGCCATTGAGAAGCAACTGAGTCCCGAGGACTCTGCTTGGGACTAGGTTAATGCTGTTATTTCAAAAGCCAGTCATTGTAAAAGAGTAAATTCATGTCTCTTTGCTTGTCTACCATGGAATGACACAGCAAAAATTTCCTCACCAATTGCTAGCTCTTTAATCTTGGGCTCTCTGACCCCCAGAAACGTGAGTCAATCTATTTCTTCTCATACAGGCAGAGTCTGGGGTGTTGTAACCGCTCCACCTTCTCATCAACTGAAGTCCTGGTTTGAGCTCCCATGGCCTCTTGAGGATTCCTGTGAGGTTGCTCTCCAAACGAGCTCGTGTGTTTGGGAAGGTCTTCCCCTCTCTCAGTTAATTCTTCCTAGAGCATCCTAACCAAGTACTTCTTAGGAAATCAAACAATGAAAACAAGTTCTTTATGGGGAGAGTTTGGGTCGTCTGTCCCATAGAACTCCCCACAGTTTTGTATTCTCACAGTCCTGTCTGTGACAAATCACAGGAGAAAAATTAAACCACTGACTGAAGAAAACAGTCATTATATTTACACCACCTAAAACCTTCCCCTGGCAATGAAAACAATGAGGTTATGGTATTTTTTTCTCCCTCAGTTAGATCTTAGAAGAAGTTTTCCATAAACTTTTTGACCTGGTCCTTTCTTTTTCTGGTTTTGTATCTCAGCATCTCTATTCCTGCAGTCATTAAAAAATAGCCCAAATGGAGAGACATATTATGTGTTATTTATTAAAAATTTAGAATCAGTG